TCTTGCTCTATGAATGGCACGGGGTCGAGAGCAGTGCGGACAGCTGCCCGCTGTGAAGTGGCAAAAGATAGTTCTTCAGAACCGCCTTCTCTTTGCGCCCAAGCGTTCAACCGAAACAAGTATATCATGAAACCAGAACTGATCCCAAAGAGAATCATCGCATAGCTGCCGATCTCATACACCTCGGCGTTTGTCCATTTTACACTCAGGATGATGAACCACGTGATCACATACGCAAGAAGCATCACATCACCCAAGCACCAGTCGTGGAGGTACTCCATGAGAAGAAGAAGGGCGTCTGGCCCGCCTAGGCATCGGATGAACCTAGGATGCCCGAAATCGATCACGGCTGGCACTGCAATATAGGTAATCAGCGGGAGCACCACCACCGTTGTGAACAGCCAGCACGCAACGAACCAGCTCGAGTCTGTCAGTATCAGCACCATTGCCTTGTTTATGCGCGCAAGCTTGAAATGGCCACTCGGATCCACTGGTGAGACGCTTATCACAGGAGAGTAAAAGAAAAATAACATAACACTAACCAGCTGGACAAACCCAACTGGGAACCACAATTTGTGCACAGACTGGTGCTTCGCTACCTCCTCCTTCTTGACGAACTGGCTCAACAAAATCTGTGTGCTTGCGCTGGAGAGGATACAATATGCCAAAAAATCCGCCGGCCCAACGGGCCAGAGGCGTGCTAAGATCTCCGGTAACTGGTTGACAATATTTTCAATTCGCGCGCGCGGGGTGGCCCCTGGGGGTCCCCAGGCGAGCCCGGCAACTGCTTCTCAGAGATGGTTTTCCTCCTGGGCGCGGCCTCTCAGGCCCCCAGAGCGCGCCAAGAGGGCCCCAGGAGGCCCCGAAGACTGCCCAAGAGGCCCCCGAGACGACCAAAGAGCGCTCCAAGACGCCGAAGATGGCCCCCAAGACGGCCCAAGAGGCCTCCAAGTGGCCTCCAAGAGGCCTCACAGGAGGGCCCCGAGAGGCCAACATCATCAATATTACGATGGTTTTGGAAGGATTTTGGCCTTGTCGCCTTTTCGGCTTTCCGATGCTCCAAGACGGCCCAAGAGGCCCCCAAGAGCGCCCCAAGACGGGCCAAGAGGCTTCCAAGAGGGCCCCGAGAGGGCTCCAAGAGGGCCCACGAGGGCCCCGAGACGGCCCAGGAGGCGCCCAAGACGGCCCAAGAGAGCCCCAAGACGGCCCCAAGTGGGGCCCAAGAGGGGGACCACGAACCGAAAACTCGAGCCTTCCGCCCCAAGAGGGCCCCAGGAGGCCCCGAGAGGCCCCCAAGAGGCCGCCAAGAGGCCTCCAAGAGGCCCCCAAGAGGCCCCAGGAGGCCCCCAGGAGGCCCAAAAGAGGCCCCAACAGGCCCCAGAAGAGAAATGCCTCTCAGGCGCCCCCGAACGGCTTCTCAAAAGACCCCAAGAGGCCTCCCAAAGAAGCACCTTGACGACGACCCTGTTTGGCCCCAAGAGCAACACAAGATGCCAACGAGAGGCTTCCTCCTCCGCCCCCTCCTCTTCCTCCGCCTCCTCCTCCTCCTCTTTCTCCTCCTCCTCATCTTCATCCTCCTCTTCTCCTTCTCATCCTCTCCTCCTCCTCCCCTCCCATTCCCCATCCTCCTCTTCCTGCTCCTCGGCGGCGCCACAATGGCCCCGAACCCATGGCGGAGCAGTAGCGATCATGCAATGTGGGCCGGCGGAATGAGCGAAGCGATTGAATAATAGAAGCCTGGCAGAAGATGCGGATCTAGGATGGGCTTTATCTTCAAATCCGCCGACCCCCGCATGCCAGGGGTGCTAAGGCGTGTGAGACGACGGGCTGGTACACCTCCCTCTTTCCCCCTCCCTTGGGGTCCCAAATCCTTAGGGGAGCAGAGGGGGGGGGGGCTACGAGCTCGCCAACGCACCTCCGGGGCCCTCAGCAGCTCAAAATCAACCCTCCGTGGCCGCTAAAATGCTCAAGACGCTTTGAGACTGCTCCTGAAGGGCTCCAGCGCGCCAGAGCAGAGAGGCCTCAGAAGCAACCAAGCTAGCTCCAAGACGGCCCAACACACAGAAAGAGGGTCCCAAAGAGGATCCCCAAGCACGCATCATTGATTTCAAGTCGCTTGATTGAGCTCGTGTTTCAAGCGTATTTGCATGCGTGAGTGTGAATTTCGCAGTCTCGCCTTGGTGGGCGTATGCAAGCCCAAAATGGCGCAAGAGGCCCCCCAGTCTGGCCCAAGACGTCCCACATATGGCGCAGAGACGGCACAAGAGGGCCCCAAGACGGCCCGAGATGCCTCCAAGACTGCAGATCAAGAGGCGCCCCCGAGGGGCCCAAGAGAAGCACAATTTGGGGAACCCGCAGGGACTCCGCGAGTCACCCCCAAAAGATGGCACAAAGACCCCCAACATGCCCCAAAGACCCTCCGCTCGAAGCCACCAGAGACCCAGAGGGTCCTCAAAAGTCTCCAGGACCATTGAAAACACTACAACAGGCCGCCCCCTTGGCCTCCAAGAGGCCACCGAGAAGCCCCGCTACAGACGCGGAGGAAGAGGAGGAACCATCAGCAACAACTACATGCAAGCAACACGACGGGAGGTGACAAACGACACACAGTATCGGCAGCTGCACATCTCCTCTTCTGAGGGTTGGCGGAATAGCGCAAGCCTCTTGAGTAGCTGTTCAAAAGCATTATGATTTGCCCATCCACATGCTGAAACTTGGCGACTCTCGCGACCGTCCATAAAATAGCTTCGCTCTGGAAGAGCACCCCAAGAAGCGTAGCAATCAACTTCAGGAAAGGCATCAGCACGCAGCAAATCAAGATGAGGACGGCAGGGATTCTCGAGATGGTTGGGTCAACTTCGGTTTTCAACTCGTTGGTATCAGCGTGGTAAAGAAGATTGAACAGACCCAAGCCCGAGTAATGCTGGACGTCCCTCCTCTGGAGCGTTGTGACGGCGCACGAGTCATAGAAAAATAAGCCAGGCACGCAGAAGCAGTAACTCAACAATAGCACTCCGCCTCCCACATAGTTCTGCCACGTGTTGTACTTCTGCCAGCAACGTGGGGATGGCTCCATGTCGGGCTCGCCTCCTGTTTTAAGACCTCTGCACAGCCGAGGCAGGGTTGGGGTCAAGCAGGCATGCCACTGCCTCAAGAACTGCTCGAGCAAAGATGGGCACAGTCCACGCCCTTCGACTGCTAAAAGGAACTTTGGCTGTGGATTGACGCGGTGTTCCTTAGGGGGACGGGAATGAGTCGATACCGCTGCTCCCTGGATGTCTCCCAGGGTGTGTTCTAGCCCGGACTCCGGCGCCAAGCCCAGCCGCGGCGACGAGGGCCCACAATGAGGCCCGAAAAGGCGGGTCCCTCGACCCGAGGCATCGGGCAGGGCGGGGGGAAACGGTATCATGGTCACGCCGCCGTGGAGAATCCATCCGAGTGCTTCTGCTGTCGAAGCACCGGGCCCTCGGGCAGAAATTGAGGACCGAACATGCTGACGGGCTACCAACGGCGGTGCGCTGTTGATACGTGGTACAGCCAACCCGCATCATAAGGATGCGCAGTAAGGATGCAGGGGCCTTGGAGGGCCACATTAACGTGTTTCGAGCGAGGTTGGCCAGCGAAAGCCGCTAAGTATGGGCCGAAGGGGCAAGGACGCAGCGGTACCCTTGGGAAAATTGCCCATCTTTACTATGCGGGTTGACTGCATCCATGATAGCTCGCGCGCGTGCCGTTCGCATCACGGGCCGAGTACGACGATACCACGAAGCAAATCTGCAACCCCAAGGCGAGAGGTGCGCAGGCCGATGCGGCACTATGCCGCGCTGCAGCACCCGGGCCGAAGCAACAACCCAAACGCACTGCCGCAGCACATCGCCAGAGGGGACGTTGACTCCACGCGACGTCTGTCCATCGTCCAGCATAGCGGAAGAGGAAAACCAAGAAAGGAACTGTGAGATTGATACCGATTCTCTCGGCGACTCCGAGGGATGTGATTTGCAGAGGGTTTGGCTTGTACCTCGCGCCTGGGGGGGGCGGGGCGGGCGAGGATCTCGACAGAGATTTCTGCCGCGCCCCCACGAGGGCTCAACAAACCTCTGGCGCAACGTGGTTCTGAGCGCCCGACATGGGTACGGAAAACATGGGCAGGATATCCAACAAGAAATGTTGTCCAAAACCGACAGCCCTGTTCAAAAGTAACAGGAACTGCTGCTGGGCATCGTACCCATTCTCTCCGTACCCATCTCGTTCGTGCCGAATGGTGGCCCGCGGCGCCGACCGCAAACCACGCGCCATCCGAGCCACATCCAGTGCAACCGCCGAGTCTCCCTCCCGAAAATTCCCAAAGGTCGGCCACACGCAAGAGCGGCCCTGTATCAGAGTGACCTTTGGGCGCGGCTTTCTTGGGGGCCGCGGTGGAACCGAACACAGGCGCACAAGACGCTACTATCGCATCACTTTCGGCGATCGAGGGACCCGCTTCCAAAGGTCACTATCGAAAAACCTTATCGAGGACCTGGCGGTCGGCCTGGGGTCGACCCGACGCGAACCTGCCGTACTCTGTTGTGCCCCCCCCATGAGGGCCCAGTGGAGGAGGCTGTGGTAGAAAGGGCTCGGGCAAGGCCCGGACTCGAAAAGGGTTCGGCGAAGGCCGATGGGCCCGCACAAGAGGTCACTAAAGCGAAGGGTCACTCTTATGGCTAGTCTTATGATGTTCCAACCTACTTCAGCCCTGATCGCCAGAAAGAATTTCGAGTACCCCAAAAAACACCGAAACTGGAGGGTTTGCACGTGTCGGGCCCCGGGAGGCGATGCTCGTTCGACACTTCGCCATCGTGTCGGGCAGGCGTTCTTTCGACATTCCTCTGGGTGCTCGAAATGATTGCTGGGATGTGGTCCTTAAATACGACGGGAAAAGCACAAGTCTAGTCGACCGAAGGACGGCAGCGGCGGCTGGCGGCCGCGGCGGGCCGCGGCCCGCCGCGCCCCGAGGCCCGGGCAGGCACAGCCCCACCAGGCGGCCGCCCGAGCAGCGCAGGGCCACGGAGAGCAGCCGCGGCGGGCCGCCGCCCTGCGGGCGACGTGGGCGCGGCCCGCGCGCGATGCGAGTCGCGCGCAGCCCGCAGGACGGCGCCGCGGCGGCGGCGGCGGCGACGTCGGCCGGCGACGAGGAGGAAGGCGAGGACGCAGGAGCAGGAGCAGGAGGACGAAAACGAGGAGGAAGAGGAGGAGGAGGAGGAGGAGGAGGAGGAGGAGGAGGAGGAAGGAGGGGAGGAGGAGGGGGAGAGGAGGCAGAGGAGGAGAGGAGAGGAGGAGGAGGAGGAGGAGGAGGAGGAGGAGGAGGAGGAGGAGGAGAGGAGGAGGGAGCCGGAGAAGGGAGAATGAGGGGGGAGGAGGAGGAGGAGGAAGAGGAGGAGGAAGAAAAAGAGGAGGAGGAGGAGAAGGAGGAGGAGGAGGAATGAGGAGGAGGGGGGAGGGGAGGAAAAGGGGGTACGGGGGAGGACAGGAGCAGGGGGACGAATAGGAGGAGGAAGGGAGGAGGAGGAGGAGGAGGAGGAGGAGGAGGAGGAAAAGGGAGGGGAAGGAGGCGGCGGAGAGAGGAGGCAGAGGAGGAGGAGGAGGAGGAGGAGGAAGAGAAACAGGAGGAGGAGGGGGAGGAGGAGGAGAAAGAGGAGCCGGAGAAGGGAGGAGTAGGAAAAGGAGTAGGAAAAGGAGGAGGAGGAGGAGGAGGAGGAGGAGGAGAAGGGGGTGGAGGGGGGAGGAGGAGGGGGTGGAGGGGGGAGGGGTTTACGGGTCACCTCGACAGCAAGTTCTGGCTGGTGCATGTGCCTCGGCACTGCTGTCCAAGATCCACTTCGTCCGGCCAGTGTGCATAGCGGTGACGGTGGCGTCGACTTTCGCTCTGAGCCCCATCGCGGACGCCCAGTCGCACCCGACATTGATGTTGTGCGCGCAGGCCGCGCTGCTGACCAGAGCCGTCTTCACTCCAGCCTTCCCTGCTACGGGCTCGGGCGACAACGACATCCGTGAGGCTGCGCTCCCTCGGCAGGACGTGGCAGTGCATAATACCTTCGTGGAGACGGACAGGAAACAGGGCTCCCCAGGGCGCCAACTCCGGCGCAACCGCACAGAGGGCGACGAACCAGATCCACAGATCGCACTGCGGATGGAGGAGCTGCATATCGACGCGGAGAGGGATGTGAACGTCGATGCCGGCGTGCCGCTGGAAGCGCAGCAGCGACAGCAACGCCCAGGGCGAGCAGCAGCTCGGGGGGAAGCAGAGCCGTCGGAAGGCGCTCAACCAGCCGCTGAGCACCAACCCCCGCAACAGCACGCAGGAACCGCCGCGGCAGCCCCGCCACCGCCGGCTGGGCCCGAAGGTCCTGACTTCGTTCGGCGCGTGCGCCCGCGTACTCGGGTCTTCTGCCCTGTCCCAGGGTGTCCGCGCGCAGACCCAGCGGCCACCGCAGGGTGGGCGGACCACCGATCCATGCGGCAACACCTGAACGAACATGCTGCTGGCCGTATCCCTGGTCTCCCCCAGTGCCTCACGACTACCTGGACGATCGCCGCTTGAGCCCAATGTTCTGTGTGCCAGCGCTTCTTGTCCACTCGCTACAACGGCATTTGCCCCCGCTGCCGCCCCGCCGCCCGGGCAGCGGCCGCGGGGGCCGCCCCAGCCGCTGACGACGCTGCGCCGCGACCTCCGGGACCCCCTTCCCTGGAGGAGGTTTTCGCCAGACCCGTGGGCACCAAGCGGTGCGCGCCCAAGGGCGCTCGCACGCTGCGGGCGCGGTGCCTGGCCCAGGCGACGGCGCTCACCACCCACGCCAACAACGAAGCTGCTTGGATCCATCTGGCCATGCTGCCGAAGCGCGCGCTCCAGCCGCGCGCCCACGGCAGCCGCGACAGCAGGAATGCCGCGGAGGCGGAAACGAAAGAGCCTCGCATACGGTGGCTAGAGGGCGAGCGCGCGCCACTATGGGCCGAGACAACAGACCGACGCGAGTCGAGGAAGCAACGATCCGAGGACGAGGCCGCGGGACGCGCCCAACGGTGCCTAGAACTGGCGGCCGACGCCCAGTACTCGAAGAATTGTGCCGCTCTTGTGAGCGAGCCGCCCGTCGACGTTACTCCAGAGGTCGTCGACCAAATGCGCCGCAAGCACCCTCTCAGCAGCCGGGCGGTGGACTTCTCCAGTTTGCCCCAGGCGCGCGCCGCGGCCGCCCTGCAGGTGGACGCGGCCGCTGTGGAGCGGGAGATCAAGGCATTCCCCCGCGGGTCTGCGGCGGGGCCGACGGGCCTGCGACCGCAGCGCCTCAAGGACGCCCTGCAGGCGACGGCCCACAGGGACGAGGTCCTGGAGCAGCTCCTCAGCCTGACCAACCTGCTTGCCCGGGGACAGGCCCCCCCTGCCACCGCGAAGCTCTTCGCCGGCGCCTCGCTAGCGGCCCTCCAGAAGAACGACGGCGGTCTGCGGCCAGTCGCCGTGGGTGAGACCCTGCGCCGCCTGGTGGGCAAGCGCCTCTGCGGCGAGGTGTCAGACGCGGCGCGCGGCAGGCTTGCGCCTCTGCAGCTGGGGGCGGCGGTGCCTGGAAGCACAGAGGCCGCGGCCCGCAACGCGCGGCAGTGGTGGAGCCGTGGCGGCCGCGGTCCACGTTGCGCCGCCAGAAGGTGCTCGCGAAACTCGACCAACCGAGTGCCTTCAGCACGCTTGACAGGCAGGCGGTCCTGCAAGCAGTTCCAGAAGATTCCCCTGGTCTAGCCCCCTTTGTGGACTGGCGCTAAGGCGCCCCAAGCTCACCGTTCCTGGGAGAGAGAACTCGGCCGCTGTCCTCCGAGCGCGGCGCCCAACAAGGCGACCCGCTCGGCCCGCTACTCTTCGCGCTCGCTCTGCAGCGCTGCGCGGAGCAGGCGCGCGCTGAGCAGGCCGACCCTGCCGACGGCTCCCTGGACTTGTTCTTCTACCTCGACGACGGCTGCCCGGCTGCGGACGCGCCCGCAGTTGCCCGCCTCCTGCGCCACTTGGTGAGGCGCTTAGCCGCAGCTGGACTGGACCTCAGCACTGGGCCAGGCAAGTGCGAGGTGGCCCCTGCCAGCGGCGCGGGCAGCAGCGTGGATTTGAGCGCGTTCCCGCCGGGCTTCCGCCTCAGGGAAGACAGCGGCTTCGAACTCTTGGGGGCCCCCGTGGGGGGGCGACAATTTTTGCGCGGAACACACCAGGACAAGAGTGGCCAAGGCTGCTGACCTGCTGGAGGCCCTCGGGGCTATGGAAAACGCCCAAGTGGCCTTGCTTTTGCTCCGCCAGTGCGCCTCATACTGCAAGTTGGGCTACTCCGCGCGCGTGGTTCCGCCGACGGCGCACAGTGGCGCGCTGCAGACCATGGGCTCCGCCGTCCGGGCAAGTCTGGAGCAGCTCAGTGGATGTTCCCCCTTGGGCGACTCTTGGAAGCAAGCGCAGCTCCAACTCAACCGAGGCGGGCTCGGGCTCCGCTCCTCCGAGAAGCAAACAGCAGCCGCCTACCTAACCTCGCGCGCCCGCAGCGCGGAACTCTGCCGACAGCTCTACGGAGCCTACGACGACACCGACGGCGGAGACGGAGGCAGCCTGGCGGCAGCCACGCAGGCTTTCAACCGCACCGATCTTCCAGCCGACCAAATTGCCTTCGACCCTGCCCAGCACGGAGACCAATGGCTCCTCTCTGGAAAGGTGGACGACGCTGTCCGCGACGACCTCTGGCAACGCGCCTCGCAGGCGACGAGGGCCCACCTTAACTCGGTGGCAGCCCCAGACGCTGAAGCCTACTTGCAGGCGCCGCCGCGCCGGGCGCTCGGCACCGACTTCCCGCACAGCTTGATGCAAGTGGCGCTGCAGCGACGCCTTCGACACCAGCTGCTCGAAGAGAAAGCATTTTGCCCGGCGCGCGGGGAGGTGATGGATGTGTTCGCAGACCACGCGCTCACCTGCAACTGCCGCGGTGACCGCACGAAGCACCACAACTGCCTCCTGAACCAAGCCTGGCAAGAGGCGCTGGCCGCCGGCTACGCTGGGGCAAAACTCGAGCGCCCAGTCTGCTGCCGCCGCGCGCGCCTGGAGAGGGCCCCCCGGCTGGCGAGGCTGGCGGCGACGACGTGGACGGCGACGGAAGGCGCCCCGCGGACGTCTTCGTCCCGCGGTGGCGAGGCGGCACGCCGGCGGCGTGGGATTTCGCTGTGACCTCGGGCCTCCGCGCGGACTTACTCGCGGCTTCTGCCGCGGAGGGCGGCGGCGACGCAGCGGCGACCCACTACGAAGAGCAGAAGCGCTTGCACTTGGACACGCAGCGCAAATGTTCAGAGGCCGGCCTGACGTTCATACCGATGGTATGCGAGGCCCACGTCGGCGGCTGGGGCCGCGAGGCGCGACGCGCCTTCGCGGTGCTCGCAAAGCGCGCGGCCGACGCTACTGGAGACGACGCCGCGCTCGTGGCCGATCAGCTTGCCCAGCGATTTTCGATTTCCCTGCACAGGGAAAATGCGCGGGCAGTGCTGCGGCTCCTCCAGCCGCGAGCGGGCGCGACGGCCGAGCGGCTGGCCGCTGCCAACGCAACCGCCACGGCGGATGCTGTGTGAACCGCTCCCGGCCCGCCCCCGCCGTCGACCCCGCCCGCCCTTCCCGACGCCCCGCCGTTGTGACGGCCCCAGACCCAGAACGGCCAGCACCCCCCCCGAGGACCATAACGACTTCTTGAACCGCGACGACCCACGACGACCCACGATTCCCACCGACGCCACTCGCCCCCTCCGCCCCCCGCCCGCCCCTGCTGCCTTGCTGCCTTTGCCGCCCTCCCTCTCCTCATGCATGCTGGCGCCCGCTAGCTGTGTCGTTTTTCCTCCTGCTCCTCCTCCTCCTCCTCCTCCTGCCGAGCTCTCGCCGGCGCTGGTGTGCAGGACTGGGGCGGAGCCAGCACTGTACTTACGGGAGGTGCCCCAGTTGTTTTCCTCCGCATCTTAGCTCTTGTGCCGCCCCCTTTTCCTCCTCCTGCTCCTCCTGCTCCTCCTCCTCCTCCTCCTCGTCCTCCTCTCCAACAG